ATTTTCAATCGTCCTGGAACAAACCTTCCAGCACCACCTCGCCGATTTTTCCACCCATTCTTGTCGGTCAAACACACGCACATCGTCTGTGACATCCAATCCACCCTGGGTGTCGACTGTCCTCGTATCTGCGGTGAAACGTAAACGAGACCTCTTTAGTGTCAGCCGAAAATTTCCAACACCTGTCAATATGGAGGCCTACCGAGTTCAGCGCAACTTTGTCAAATACCTATCCCGTAAAACCTACCGCTCTTACATCAGCTCCCTCTCTGCAACAATATCATCACCCAATCGTCCTTCTCTCTACCAGTTCATTCGCACCCAGGGTCCCAGTGTCTCTCGCGCCCCAATCCAGTGCTTGATTGATCCTGATGGCAACAGTCAATCTGAGGCAAAGTCCATTGCGGACACTCTGAACAAACAGTTTGTCTCTCCCGGCCTTCCCGACGATCCGAACTGGGTTATCTCGCCCCTGCACCCAGCTCCAGAGCTGCGCGCTCCACTTCTGGAGGTCTTTACAACAACTGGTGTGGTCCGCAAACAACTGAAACGTCTTAAGAGCTGCAAGTCTCCTTGAAAAGACGGTATTCCAAATGAAGTCCTTAAACTGCTGGTGCCTTCCTTGTCGTATCCCCTGTGCTTGCTATTCAACTTGTCATATCGTGCAGGAGTCTTCCCATCTGCGTGGAAATCTGCTATTGTTGTCCCGATATTTAAGAAAGGACAACGCTCCCAAGCTGTTAATTACAGGCCCATTTCCCTCCTACCAACTATATCCAAGGTCTGTGAACACATCTTCTATGAAGCTCTCTACCACCATGTCACCCCTGCCCTCTCCTCTGCACAATCCGGCTTCTGTCGTGGAGACTCAACTACTTTGCAATTGACACGCTTAATCCAGGATATTTACGGACATCGTAACCTGAAGAAGCATGTAGGTCTTGTCTTTTTAGATCTGTCAAAAGCGTTCGATACAGTCTGGCATCGAGACCTACTTGCAAAGCTTGAGTACATTTTTCTAGTACGTGGTACAGCTCTGCAGTGGCTGTCGTCATATTTGTCGTCCCGTCATCAAACTGTCTGTGTCTCTGCTTCCTTGTCCGATCCTTTACCTGTAGTGTCTGGTGTTCCACAGGGGTCCATACTGGGTCCACTCCTTTTCCTAACTTATGTGAACGATCTGCCCTCTCTAGTTCCAGACGTCAGCCTTTTTGCTGATGACACTGCACTGTTGTGCTCTGACAGCTCGCCGTCCAACCTCGTTACCTCCCTGCAGACCGGCATTAACTCCACCATAGCATGGATGGAAGCTTGGAAACTGAGGCCCAACATCGCGAAGACCGAAGCAATGTTCATCAACCCATCGCCGCCTACTCAGCCGTTGCACTTTCCAGGAGCCAATGCTAACGTTTAAATTGTTCATGAACACAAACACCTTGGTGTTATATTCGACAGCCATATGTCCTGGTCCCCACAGGTCCAGTCAGTATGCAAGCGAGCTAGCTCCTCCCTTGGCATGTTGCAACCTCACTGCCACCATTTAAATGACCATTGCCGAAAATTGTTCTTTACGTCGTATATTCTACCTATATTTGATTACTGTGACACAGCGTGGTGCGGTCTGTCTCAGGCCCTTGTTCAAACTCTGGAAATACACCAGCGTCTGCTTCTAAAAATCCTGTTTCGCAAAAATCAAACATTCTCCTCCCAACGTCTCTACAGTTTAGCTTCAGTATCTCCCCTCTTAGAGCGACACCAGCAACATCTTTGCATCCTTGTACACATGATGTTATTAGACCTGGCTCCAAAACACTTTGCTAAGTATAACTGGTTTGTGTCCACCAGATCAACACGTCATTCCTTCTCATTACCCCGTGCCAATACCTCCCTGTTTCTGAAATCTCCTATCGTCTCTGCGTACACTCTCTGGTCTTCCCTGCCAACTAGCCTTAAAGAATGCACATACATTAAGGAGTTCAAGCTTCAGCTTCTTCATCCTAAATAATCTCACCATTTTCGTCATGCCTCCCCTTGCAGTACTCTCTTTGTTTCTCTCCTTATTATTCAGTTCGCCGTGGTTGGCTACCACCCGACTTCTCATATATATTGGCAGTCTTCTGACGAGCCAGGAGATGTTGAATTAATAATAATAATAATAATCTCTTTCCCTCAAAACCAGTTAATATGTTATGACTTGGGGCTCCCCGCGTGCTAGTTTGTACGTGAAGTGTGTGGGTACAGTGAGGGCTGCGTCCCACCCGCCTGTGTGGATTCACAGGAAGTGTGAGTTACGAAGTTTGAAGAAAACATTGAACGGTCTCTGCTTGGATGACGACTACACCATAGCTCAGTGGTTAGAGCATCGCTGGCTACAAGCGAGGGTCCCTGGTTCGTGTCCTGGTGGTGACAGTCAATTTTTTCTTCAGACTTTTCCCGTTCGTCTCTTTCCCTCAAAACCAGTTAATATTTTATGACTTGGGGCTCCCCGCGTGCTAGTTTGTACGTGAAGTGTGTGGGTACAGTGAGGGCTGCGTCCCACCCGCCTGTGTGGATTCACAGGAAGTGTGAGTTACGAAGTTTGAAGAAAACATTGAACGGTCTCTGCTTGGATGACGACTACACCATAGCTCAGTGGTTAGAGCATCGCTGGCTACAAGCGAGGGTCCCTGGTTCGTGTCCTGGTGGTGACAGTCAATTTTTTCTTCAGACTTTTCCCGTTCGTCTCTTTCCCTCAAAACCAGTTAATATGTTATGACTTGGGGCTCCCCGCGTGCTAGTTTGTACGTGAAGTGTGTGGGTACAGTGAGGGCTGCGTCCCACCCGCCTGTGTGGATTCACAGGAAGTGTGAGTTACGAAGTTTGAAGAAAACATTGAACGGTCTCTGCTTGGATGACGACTACACCATAGCTCAGTGGTTAGAGCATCGCTGGCTACAAGCGAGGGTCCCTGGTTCGTGTCCTGGTGGTGACAGTCAATTTTTTCTTCAGACTTTTCCCGTTCGTCTCTTTCCCTCAAAACCAGTTAATAATAATAATAATAATAATTTTAGAATTGCGATCAACAGAACGAGATGAACCGTTAATTACACCATTAATTACACCATGACCTATTTCAGTACGGAAGTACCGAGCCAACGGAATACACATGTGTCTAAGTATGTGTGTATTGGTGCGTAGGTGTGGGTATGTACATGTAGATGTATGTGTGTGTGTTTGTGGGTGTAGGTGTGGGTGTGTGGATGTGTGGATGTGTGGGTGTGTGGATGTGTGTGTGTTTGTGGGTGTAGGTGTGGGTGTGTGGATGTGTGGATGTGTGGGTGTGTGGATGTGTGGGCGTACATGTAGATGTGCAATGCTTCGATTTCTCTATCTTCTCTTCTCTTCTCTCTTCCTTTCGGGGTCTCCCGCTTCTGGGCCGGCATGGCCCATGCTTCATGCGTGCTTGTTCCTGGTGTTGTTTTGTCTACTGTGTCCTGCCGCTACTCCGGCTTTGGCCGTGACCACGATGTGTCTCCCCATTTTCTCCTTTATCCTTTCCTTTGTCTTTTTGCTAAAAGCTTTCTTCTCGCCGTGACCACGATTTTTCTTCTTCTTCTTCTTCTCCATTATTCCTTTTCTTTCCTTCCTTTCTCTTCTTCCTTTGCCGAGAACCTTCTGTTCCCATTATTTTCTTTTCATCTCTGTCCCCATTCCTGGGTTATTTGGACTTCATTCGCTTCCTTGTCATTGGACATGTTCAGTCCGTTCGGTTTGCGAATTTAAATAAACACAACAACAACAACACAACAGGAACGTGAGACGAGGGATGGGAGGAGACGGGACCTGATTGCTCCGAGGCAGGACGTCGTTGAGGAGGATTCGGCCAGTGAGTCCAGTGATTCCGGTGAGTGTGAGAGCGAGAATGATTGTGTGAGTAAGAGTGGGTGCGAGCGTGTGTTTTCTAGTAGTAGGAAGTCATCAGTGTATAAGCATCTTGCATCTCGTCCTGATTGCTGTAAGGTTTATTCTGATTCTTCTTTTTCTGTTTTGTGCCGTGCTCGTCATGGTTATAAGTTGCAATTGAGTGTGTTAGAAGCTGTTTGTCAACGTATTCATAACTAGAATCATAAGCCTAATCTGTGTGTCCAGAAGGACAGCATTATTCGTTTGAAATTGTTTTAGTAGCAGCTTGTTCGGTCTGTTTGGCTCTGGTTGTCCATGGTGTCATATCTTGTGTCACAGTATACTAGTAGTCCTTACAAGTTCGTTAAGTGCTTTCGCAGTTTTTCCTGTTATTACCTTAGTGCTAGGATTATCATTTTCATAGGTGTTGTTTCTTCTCACTCCATTTCTCTTTATTAGTATCTTTCTGGATTGTTTTTCATTAGCAATTCTTCCAGCAAAATATCGAAATTTCCCACGAAAAGAAATTGCTGGCAAATTCCGAGCAAAATATCGAATTTACAGGGGATCTGGGTGTGTTTTGGCAATTCTATTCTAATTTCTTTGGTTTCACTGGGCCAAAGTTGTGCTGAGATAGCTCGTGTAGGTTGTCACGGGTAGGTAAATTTGAAATCATGCTACAAAATCCGTAATACTGACACCATTTTCAGTTTTGCTTTCCTCATCAGAGACTCACCATCCACTTTTACCAAAGTAGACGGTTCATTCGAGGCCATATTTGGCCAAGAGCAGGAGCAAAACGGAGCAAAATATCGGAAACGAAAGGCATTGCCCAGCAAAATACGGAAAGTGCCCGGGCAAAATTTGCCGGCAAAATATCGAAGCGCCCCGAGCAAATTTGGGCTAGGCCTAGTGCATGCAGTTGGTGAAACAGGGTGAGCGGGAAAAGGGTGCATGCAGTTGGTGAAACAGGGTGAGCGAGAAAAGGGTGCATGCAGTTATTGAGGCAAGGTGTGCATGAATGTGTAGGGAGTGCATGAATGTGTGTAGGGAAGTGCGTGCATACGAGAATGTGTACGCGACGCACGAGCTCGGGTATAATACGGGCTTCACCTTCAGTCCGCTGCTCAGTTGCTTTCTTGTATCGCAAGACGTAGTTTTGACTACGCTGGACTTTGAGGACTTGACTGGATCTGCTATCTATGCGGTAAGTTCTATTCGTTTTTGTGAATGTATATGAGAATAGGTGTGCTGTCCGGGCGGGGAGAGGATTAGCTTGTACATGTACCTCAATGTGCTGTCCTCTCTAATCTCTTTCTGTACCGTAACGTACTTGTGTATCAGTGGTAGATTTTCTTGTGACGTGACAGGACCTGACAATGCGTGCAAACGCAAGCATTGTCAGGTCCTCAGTACCACACCATGACATGTACTCGTTGCTCCTGACAAGTCTGATCAGTTCTCATCAACCAACCAGGCAAATAAGACTTGTCCTGAGCAAATACTACCCGTTACGGAGTGTGACTAACGAACTGTTCATGCTGGTTTTCTGCAAGCACCGTGTTTGTCCAGTGGGTGAATGTCACACTCCAGTAGCTGTAAAAGGGCTAACAGGGTTCTCGCCCCTCCTCACTTTTTGACCGCCCCCTTTCAAAATGAATGCACCAGCCTTCAAGTCAGAGTTCGAGTGCCACCTTTATATGCATGATGAGCAGACAGTCATCATGTACCATGTACTTGTAGTGGCACCACGGCATTGTATGAATCATTACATCATAATTTATCACTTACTAGTGTACCTCGGGCGGGTTGCAGGGTGCGGGGGGGAGACAAAGTGAACAAAATACATGGAATGGACGTACAATACCGTATTCCCGTGATCAGAGCCCTCTCTTGAATACAGCCTTATCTCTCATAGGGCCCTAGTCTCTAAGAGCCTGTGAAAAATAAAGCTCTCCTTTGAAGAGTTCCCCCCCACACATACACATGGGCTTGTAACAAAGGTACATGCAGGTTTGGTGTTGTTTTGCTAGTGTTCTTGTCCATGCCACTGCACTGCCACTGGTGGTTTCAGCAACAAAAATCCCAGTTCTTGTTGCCGTGTCAGTGAGGTTTTGATAGTTTCCCTGGATGACGCAAATGCACCAGCATAGTGCCCTCTCTTGTACAGTTTCCGACCTGTGAAAGACATTGAAAAAGCAGTGCCCCATGGTCACTAATCGCGGATGCGGTAGTTGGTCATTTGCTTACTGGTGCTGGTGACTGTGAAAGTAACAGCCAAAATTGCGGCACAAAATGGCGGTAAAATCACAAATGTTTGAGTCCAATGATCCCCGTCCCCCTTCACGTTTGTTCAGGCTGTAACACTAGTCTTGTCACAGGATATATCTAGTATTTGCTCACACTTAGCTCTCTCCAAATTTAGAAATTGGAGAGGCGTGGATCATTGTGGCATTAGCTAATCTTCTTGTTGGGCGGCCCACGCTTGTCTCTAAATTAGTATGTAGAAAGGAGTGTATAATGAACTGTGGTAGCTCTGGTGCGATCCATTCTACACTATTCCATTCGAGCTGTTTTGTCTCTTCGTCAGCCAATTTCCCGAATATTCGAACATTCTTTCATTCATTTTAGTTTCGCACCCCGAACATTTTCTCAGTTCACTGGCCTTGCAGAGGCAACCCACAGGCACAGAGCTAGTCAGGGAGTAGTCAGATATTTGAAGACTCTCTGGTGCTGGTCTGTACAAGTGTGACGTTCGTACTTCAGCGCTGTTATGCGAAGGGTAGAATTGATGCGCTCCAAAAAACGTGCCTCGAGTCCCCGACTGCAGAGGGTAGCCTAGGTGCAACTGATCACAGGAAGTGAACCCACAGTGACTTTTCACCGTAGTTTTGCAGTGTTGTTATAACCAGGATATTCTTTCATTCACTCGTTACCATCAAAAGCTTTCGATTACGGAGAAATTGTTTTTATTTAGGCCCTATCCGTGAGTTAGTGGAGTGTGCACACATGGCGCCAAATTGTTAATTATGATCTTGTTTGCTATCACTTGGATTCTACTAAGTCATAACTCCAGTTCATTTTGTTGCATGTACTGTTAACAGGTTGAAGATGGGATCTATTTTATTGCTTACTCTATGTGTGCTGGCTTCAATGCTGCACACAATAAATTGTGCTGAAGGTAAGACTTTGAAAACCTAACAGATATTCATTATCATTTTCTATCCGTTGTATGGAAACTTGCAATGACAAATATTGTGGACTCGTCAGCGCAGCATAGAGGAAATGAGGCCGAACCTGATAGCAATGGAAATAAAAATTTCCAATCAGGCCCGAACGTACATTGCCAGAGTGCTCAAACTGACAAGTCAGTGAGCTCTGCATAACGCAAACAGCAAAGGCACTACCCCACGCAAGAGTGCTCAACTGCTACAAGAGCAGGAGCGAAATACTCAATCTGCGGACAGAACTGTTTAGATACACTAACTATATATCAGGCAAAGCTCCGTATAAGTTCCGTACTACTTCCGTATTGGTCGGGCAGGGATACTACAGTACTTTTGTTGCAGTCCTTGCTGATTTGTTGTTGTGGAAAAGTTCTTCTTTCTCGTCATGGTGGGCTGTTGTTGAGCAAGTGACGCTTCGTATCCCAGTATCCAAGCAACATTACAAGAGTTTCTGGACCAAACTGTCATAGTGGGCAAACAAGGTCCACTCAGGTATAAAATGAGCCAACTCGGTAATCGGTAATTTGGCCATGTCCGGGGATATTTGCTCGTTATAGACATTTTACTGATTTAAATGATGATAGGTTGAAACCATTAGTCCTATAAGTTTGGCAACAAGAGCTAAAAGCCAGAAGGTTATATACACAGTTCCATATTATTAAGAGTCATCAAAATGTAACGTCAAAGTTTGTGCCAACAAGCTAAATGAGACGATAGGCATTTCTCGAAATCCTTATATTGCTTTTTAGTCGATTGCAATAAACAAAACCAGTTGTAGCGGCATTTCATGGCATTTCATGAAGGTTTTATTGAGTTCTCACAAACACATTCTAGAGAAAGTGGTGTTGGACACAGAATTGGTTCGTGACATCTCAAAATGACGCTTCAGCTGGTTCTGTTTATTTGCAATCCCCACCTCACCGCCCTTTCAAATACAGTGATCGCCTTCACAGGTTTTACTGTATCCCTGTATTGCTACTTTCTATTTTCTTCTCTCGCAATGCAGGCGCTTTGTGGACAACAGTGAGGCACCACGACAAGTATTACCTTTCAACATTCAATGACGAACAGTGGGTGCAGTACGACGTGGCAAGAAGGGCCTGCGCTTTCCACGGCCAACGTCTCTTGTCCGAGAGTGATATGCCTGAGTCAGTATTGAAAAGCCTTCAACTTCGCCCCGGTGCATATTTCCTTGACGGCGGCAAGAAGATCGTGACACAAAACTACGAGGAAGGATCAAACCGAGTGATCCTGGAGATTTTCAAACTCTACCCTGGTACTAAGAAACAGATATTATGCATTCGTAAGTTGGACATTTAACTTGATTATCGACTTCAAAATCTCACTGTTTCCTTGAAAACTATGTCCGAACGGCCAAATTGTCACAGTGGGCAAACAAGGTCCACTCAGGTATAAAAGGAGCCAACTCGGTAGTGCCATCTCACTGCTTCCTTGAAAAATAGATACCGGCAATCGTAATCTGCTTCTTGATGTTCACAAGGTCCAGTGCCGTCGTGATGTCACTACATGACATTAGAGACCCTAGCACCAGGAAACTCTATCACACAGACATTTACCGCAAGCCTTTTATAAAAGCCGCACTTTAATACAAGCATCACTTTAGGAAGCGTACAATCGCACATAAGCCGCCTTGAAATGGTACCAGCGGCTTCAAAATGCAGCACTATGCTTACTCCCAGCCCTAGTTTAGTAGAGTGTAAGCCTGTCTGGTATAGACGCCTGCGGAATTCCCCCCCCCCAAAAGTCGTATAAGCCGCGGCGTTTATACCAAGAGTAGATACGCTCTTTAATCTTGACTTGAATACGTGTAAACTTTGGATGCCCTCTATGTGGAGGTTTTCTATTTTATGAAAGTGCAGTCTGCTGACATTGTGTAGTGTTCAAGTTTTACGTTCGCAGTCTGTGTTAAGTTAACTGTTAAGTGACCAGTAGAGTAGTAAAAAAGCACTGCCTGACAGAAAGCCACTCGGCGTTTGTGGTCACAACCAGGAGCTTGGCAGTTATCCGGAATGCAGACACTTGAGAGGTTATTTACTCTTGCATTTACTTGTTGTTGTTGTTGTTGTTGTTGTTGTTGTTGTTGTTGTTGTTGTTGTTGTTGTTAACCGAATGTTTCTCCTCTACTCTCCCTACAGAGATCTGCGATCATGGGCAACTTGTGAAGGGGCGCTGCATCTGCCAAGACAGGTACTTCGGCGAAACGTGCGAAAAATCACGTAAGACCTGAAAATAGGCTATGCAGACTGAAAATGCCCCATTTTAGATTGCGAACACTGGCAGTAATGGATGAGATCGAGTGGAATGATGACCAGCAAAGCTTTGATTGCACACACATTGCAACGCACCCGCCAACACCCAAATGATTTAACAGGGAGATTGTTATATCAAGCAGCAAGGCTCCATTCCCCTGTTGATCTCCAGTACCATGGCTGTCAGAGCAGAACAATAAACAGAAAAGGACTTACGTACGAGTTATGACTGACAATCCACCAACTTAAGGAAACGAGATATTATACAGTCAGGTAGTGCGCATAACAAGGCACAAAACTGGCAGAGATCTTGAGACATTAATTTTTTCTTGTCCAAGGAGTTTCTAGTGTCTTCAAGTGAGTTGGGTCAAGTTTAGCCTCAAAGTAGGCCTTGGCGGATAATGCCGGCAGAAAAATTGGCAGAATTCGGTACCATTTCTGGTAGGGGTGAAACAATTATACCGAATACTCGAGTACTCGCTCGGTTTTTTCAGAAATAATCGTACTCGGAATAAATCAGAGTACTCGTTCATACGTGGTACATGCATTTACCACAGAAATCTGGAGTTTCAGAGCAGCATTCGGCAGATATTGACGTGCAGACTGGTGGTGAACATTTGTTCACGAGTAGAGAGAGCCCAAATGACCCAGCAACCAATATACCAGAGAAAAATGACTGCCACTCGGTTCAATCAGGGTTGTATCATGTGATTTTAAGGCCCTCGGTGTGCAATTTTTAGGAGATGAAGAATACTCGAATACTCGAATATTCGATCGGAGAAAATCAGAGTACTCGAACTCGGGATCTCAATGCGAACTTTCACCCCTAATTTCTGGTAAGTTTCATGCATGTTTGGTATGTGGATAAAGAAATGGAGCAGAATTCGAGGAATTGCCCGCCATAAGGTTTGTATGGTTCTGCCAATTTCGGTGCAAAAAAAGCAGAGTCTGCCACCTTTTCGAGCATTATCCGCCAAGGCCTACCTCAAAGTACCACACTAATAATTACTGATTTAGGTGATGATGGGTTGAAACCATTAGTCCTACAAATTTAAATTGCCAAGTTTGTTATAATTATTGCGCTCTTTGGAGCAACTCACACCATAATTTAGCATGTGTACGTTTCAATACCATTCTACTGCCAAAATGCTGTGTAAATTGACATTGTGCTTCGTCTCATTTTCAACCTTAAAATTAACCGATTTGAGAAATGATGAAGAAAGAAAAAGGACAAAATGATACGAGTTATGACAAACTGTCCACCAACGTAACCCGATCTTATACAGTCCTTTTCCTTTCTTCATCATAACTATATTGGCTCACCATGCGAGTTCAGATTTGAGAGATGATTATACAAAAGGACACATCAGATTTACAACTCCCTTCGTCTCTTCGTATGCAAATATGTTTCCCTTTGTATAAGTCTTGAGTTCATTTCTGTCTCCATGGCAACTGACCTATATGGGTACACTTCCATTTGTTGTTTTCGTTGCAGGTGATTATTACTATTTTTGTGATGCCAAAAGATGGCTTTATATGGACACGAAGGATAAAGTGGTTTACGATTCTGCCAAGAACTTTTGCAATATTAGAGGCGCCAGTATACCTACCGACGCCGAGGAAACCTGCATGACGGAGCTTGCCACCCAGGTACACAAACACATAGGACAAGTACATTTCTGGGCTACTAGACTAGCTGATGGGAATCCGCTTGCCTTTAATGGACATGGTGTGCTTGCTCCTGCGATCCCTACGCACAAATTTAATATAGCCTGCGTTGACAGGAGGGGTAAGTCGATTAAATATAACATTCACATATTATTTGAGTTTCTTTGTGCTGTGCTGAAGCCATTTATGTCACCATACGAGACAAGGTGAAATGCGCACCGACTATGCAATATTTGTCTCACGCTGCACAACTCCTGATATTCGCAATAGTCACCGACGACTTGCACAGCGGCACAGCGCTTGGCCCATTTGGCAGCATCATCCCCATCTCGGAACTTTGACGATCTGGATGTGTACAATTTCCATGTTTTCTTTGTATAGGTGCCAATAAAGCAGCGTAAGTGTGTTGCTCGTGAACATAATTTTTCTAAGGTCAAGAAGTAGTACATGTACCAGGCAACTTGTGGATACAAAATGTGCTTTCGTCGCGACATATTGACATCGTTTCAAATGTGATGGAAATAACATACAAAAATTAGCTACCCATAAAGGGTGCATGATCATTTACATGTCAGAATGCAACTCAGCCGAAGATTCAAGCAAGTTACATATCTTCCTCGCCACTGTCGTTCCTGGAGGAACAGCTCAAACGTTCTATCTGCACAGCTGTTGCACGGTTCTTGTTCCACTTCTCCCCATCTCGAATCTCTCTCAAAGGCAGTGCGTGCCTGTAAAAATAATGCCTTTGTTTGAGACAAAAAGGAAACGCCACATCAGCGGTGTCCTATTTTCTAATCGCCTCTTGCACTTGTCGTATTTGCTGATCCTCACCCAAGTGAGCCGCTGGTGCTTGTACATGCAGCACAGTGATAGCATCCGCTTGTTGTAGCACCTGTGCATACTGCACTTAAACCTTTATCAAGAGTACATAAACCAGAGTGTGCAACTCGGGATTGTTCCTGTGGGAGCGTAATTCGTGCACTAAGTCATTTCTGACGGCATGGTAAGCCACAGGTACGGTGAAAAGTTGCGTAACCAGCCGCGGTGGTGCAGGTCACTGAGTTTGTCCTGATTTCGGTTTTTTGATACGGATAGCCTGGTGATTTTACTTGTCGGTGGATGTACGCAGCGCACACAGTCACACAAAACACCGAACTCCTGCAACAGGACGTCTAAAATCAAGCAAACTTTTCATTTCCGGGCTATGAAACATGAAAATTTGAGCTGTACGCAAGTCGCGGCGGCTTGGCTGACCTCATCAGGGTAACGTAGTGCACGAACTGCGCTGTTTCAGATCTGATATGCACAGTTGAACACTCTGGTTTATGTACTCTTGCCTTTATGTACCAGCCCCATCTCGAACCGTAAACACAGTTACAGTTGAGCGCGTCCATGCACTAGCCGAATCCAACTTCGGGGCAGGATAGCAAACACGGAGCGCCTCCATATACCTTTTCGCTACACTACCAGCACTAAGACATGATGGGAATGATCTCTGCCCTCACAGAAACTCAAATGAAGCCGTCGTTTGCTGAACAACAGCCCAACATGACGAGAAAGAAGAACTGCTCAACTGCAAACAAATATACAGCAAGGGCTGCAACAGTAGCGCAAGATGGCCCAAAATTTCTCTTGTACAAGGCAGCCAGTGCACTCGAGTTTCACATGTGCATCGATGCCTCGTCGCACTAATGGAAAATCATGATGTAGCAGTCGGGCGCTTGAGGATATCAGATATGCATTGCAGTTGGAAAACCAAGAATCGAAAAATAAAAAAAGTTCTCTTCGGGGGACAGCCACAGCCCTACAAGTAGGTACCTAAAAGATGCACGATATATACAAGTATGTTATATCCGCGCATGCACCAGACGTACATGGGCTCATGGCAACCTGAGAAGAATTTTGAATTTTTGGATGGAAGCGTGGGACGCATGTGAAACTCGCATGCACTATCTGCCCAGGACAAGAGATCGTTCTGGCACAATCTGGGCCTTCTTGTACTACTGTTGCAGCCTTTGCTGATTTGTTGTTGTGGAAACGTTCTTCTTTGTCGTCATGGTGGGCTGTTGTTGAGCAAGTGACGCTTCGTATCCCAGTATCCAAGCAACATTACAAGAGTTTCTGGACCAAACTGTCATAGTGGGCAAACAAGGTCCCCTCAGGTATAAAAGGAGCCAACTCGGTAATTGGTAAGTTGGCCATGTCCGGGGATTATTGATCGTTATAGACATTTACTTCCTATAAATTTGGCAACAAGGGCTAAAAGCCAGATAAGAAGGTAATATACACAGTTCCATATTATTAAAGCCTAGTTCACATTCGACGCAACGCCGACGGTACGGGACGTAAGGGCTTGTCGGAAGGGCTGGGGTGAGCTGTAAAATCCTGTACGATACGTACGACACGACATGCAGCAGTCCTTGCGACGTTCAACGTCGAACGGCGCGAGTCACTATTATTTATTCTTCTTTTACTAGGGAATTCCCAACAGGCGTCAGCGCCTTTTTACAGGGAACCCTAGGTATAATTTGATGGATGAGCGAAATTCAGCTGGTGAACTAGACATGCGGCAAGCCGGTGGAAGTGTATTCCACCTGGCAGCGCCCAAATAAGAAATTGCACTAAAGCCATATCGGGTTTTAGCGGGGGGCAGAACAAGAGCAGCAGAGACTTGGCCACGGGTGGTGGCTGCAGTGCGAGCACCATGGGCGCGCAAGGTAAAGCGGTCTCGCAGAAGAGGACTAGCAAGTCCATTCAGGCAGCGGTAAACAAATACATAGGTTTTGAAGTTGAGGCGTTTCTCAAGGGCGTACAAGTTAGTATGACTGTATAGAAGAGTGGTGGGAGTCATTCTATCCAACGAAAATATTCTCTTTAATGCTACGCGGCTGGCAGTAAGAAGCTTGTCATACAGGGTTTGTGATAAGCAATGAATATATGCAGTGCTGCCAAACTCAAATGTGGACTGAATGATCGATAAATAGAAAAGTAGTTTGCCAAAAATGCTGATATTCTGCTTTGCATGGACAAATGCTCCGACCTTCCTATTGACAGTTGCACATACTGCATCCACTTGGGTTGAGAAAGACAGATGTTCGTCAACCAGTATTCCTAAGTACCGAGCGTAAGCAGATGGGGCTATGGAAGTGCCCCGGCAGTTTACTGCGGTGCCAGGTGGCAGCTCCTTGCCCGGTCGCCTGAGCAGGACAAACTGAGTCTTGGACGGGTTTAACACCAGTCCCTTCTGATCTAGGTAGCAATCCCGAGCGGCAAGGTCAGCACTCAGCTGGGTTGTGATGATCTGGATGGACTTGTGCCTGATATAGAGTGTGATATCATCGGCATAAAGTTGATTCAATGCATGTTGGAAGCACTGTGGTGCATCACGGGTGTAAATGCAAAATAGCAGTGGGCCGGGCACGGAGCCTTGTGGGACGCCTCTTGTGCAAGGGCGGGCCCCCACCTAGCTCTTGTCCTACTCTTACTCGCTGGACGCGTCTGGTCAGGTAGCTTGCAAACCAAGCAAGTGCAGTCATAAGGCACGGTCCGTGACGGGGTGACTTTCGGACCTAATTTCTAGTTTTTCGAGACTTCTTTTCAATTATTTCTCATTGAAAGAAGCAGAATCAAGTTCACAATACCAGTTTTTCATAAAGATCAAAAAATTAGCCCTGAAAGTTGTGGCATTCAAATAATAGCCCCAGGAAATGATAGAATAGTTCGTCTGTCACGCTTCTGAACTATCCCTAAATACAATAAGGGACATGAGATTTTATGTTGCTAAAATTCAACTCAAGTCGTGCTTGCCATTCTGTGAGTTATCATGGGAAGCGCAGTGTTCGAAATGCTAAAAATATTCAAGTACGAATCGGGAGTAGTCGGCGCACGACGCCGTCTCCTGTTCACACTCGAATTGCAGCCGTTTTGTACGCTTGCGTCCCCGTCTACGGTATGAAAAGTTGGATCGATCCAACTCTTCCCGTCGCTTCCCGTTCTTTAGGGTAGTACGGTTGCGTTCCCGTTCCTGGTGTTCACATTAGACGCCGTCAGACCGTCCTGCGCTTCCCGTCGATCCTTTCGTCGCGTCCCGTCGCACCCCGTCGAATGTGAACTAGGCTTAAGAGTCATCAAAATGTGACGTCAAAGTTTGAGCTGGCTCGAAAAGATTCTTTATCGATCGAGTGGATGTCCTTCTTGTCCAAGGAGTTTCTAGTGTCTTCAAGTGAGTTGGGTCAAGTTTAGTCTCAAAGTACCACACTTAGAATTACTGATTTAAGTGATAATGGGTTGAAACCAGTAGTCCTACAAATTTGACAACAAGGGCAACAAGAGCTAAAAGCCAGAAGGAACTAACTGCATATTTTAAGAGTCATTCTTAGTGTGGTTCTTTGAGACAACTCCCTTCGTCTCTTCGTATGCAAATATGTTTCCCTTTGTATAAGTCTTGAGTTTTTTTCTCAATGGCGACTGACCTATGGGTACACGTCCATTTTTTGGTTTCTTTGCAGGTGAATCTCACTATGTTTGTGATGCCAACAGAGTGCTTTTTATGCACACGCGGGATTTACTGGGGTACGATAGTGCCAATAAGTTTTGCACTGATAGAGGCGCCAGTTTACCTACCGTCAACGAGGAACCCTGCATGAAGGACCTTTCTTCCCAGTTACATAAAACCGAAGGAGACCTATATTTCTGGACTACTAGACCAGCTGGTGGGAAGCCGTTTGCCTCTAATGGAGTTGATGTGCTTACTTCTCAAAAGCCTACGAACAAATTTAATGTAGCCTGCGTTCAGAGGAGGAGTAAGTCGATTCAATAATTATAACATGCACATTTTTTTGGAGTTTCTTTGTGCTGTGCTGATGGGTCCACATGGGTCAGCAGGCTGCAGATTTCAGAGTCATTTCACACGATTAGCATAAATTGTTATGTTGTAACGGTATTACCGTAAGGGGGGTAATACCTGATCTGGGTTCGACCTTTGGCAAGATGCTTGTGCAAGCTATTATTTCGCGCGATACAGCCATTTATGTCACCATACGAGAAAAATGAAATGCGTACCTACTATCCAATATTTGTTTCACGCTGCACAACTACAGATATTCGCAATAGTCACCGACTTGCACAGTGGCACAGCGCTTGGCCCATTTGGCAGCATCGTCCCCATGTCGGAACTTTGACGGTCTGCATGTGTACAATTTCCATGTTTTCCGTGTATAAGTGCCAATTAATCAGCGTATGTGTGTGGCTCGTGAACATAATTTTTCTAAGGTCAAGAAGGAGTACATGTACCAGGCAACTTGTGGATACAAAATGTGCCTTCGTCGCGACATATTGGCATCGTTTCAAATGTGATGGAAATAGGGGTGAAACGAGTATCTATTTTGACCAACCGATCACTCATTCATAATATTCGATCGAGTATCCGATTATTTCGAGTATTTTATCAAAATTCAAAAGCGCTAGATTTGTGAGTTCTCGACCAATTCGGAAGAAATTATCTGTGAAAATAGAACAAAAAGTCGCCAACGTCTTGTACAGAGTGTAGAGTATCGATTTTCACCAGTTTTCAATATCTCATAACAAACTAACTTTACTTGCGGTGGTGATTGCATCGTCCAAGTCATAAAATACTGACTCAAACGCATGCATAACGCATGCATATGCGCATACCAGTCGATAAACGGTACGTACAACAGAAATTTTTGAAAAATAGAATGCCAATACTAAAAAAAAAAAAAAAAAAAAAAAAAAACGATCGAGTGCAAAATTTCGAATACTCGCTCGTTTGAAATTTTCGAACGAATACTCGAATATTCGAACTAATCGTTTCACCCCTAGATGGAAATCATATACAAAAATTAGCTGCTCGTAAAGGGTTGAGTTGAGCGAATATAACTTGTTCATTACATTCATTTTGATTTTCTCTGTCCTATGCTGATGGGTCCTCAAAGGATGAAACAAGATGCTCTCTGCAGGTGTCGTAGTCAATGCCTGTAATAACCGAAATCACCGGACATTGCCAAATTTCGGATTTCGCTTAACCGTTTGCTCCGTTTATCCTTGATTGGAACTTATTCGCCGATTTAGTTGTCGATGTTTTAATCATGGCCAATGTCCAAGGACCAGACCATCTATGTTCCCACACCAATCCAAGTTACCTACTTGATCCGCGCAGGCACAATTGGGGCTTATCTTCAGACTTGTCTCAGGAAGAACTCAAATGCGCATGATCATTTACATGTCAGGAAGCAACTCAGCCGAAGATTCAAGCAAGTTACATAATATCTTCTTCGCCACTGTCGCTCCTGGAGGAACAGCTCAAACGTTCGATCTCCACAGTTGCTGCACGTTTCTTGTTCCACTTCTCCCCATCTCGAATCTCTCTCAAAGGCTGTGCGTGTCTGTAAAAATAACGCCTTTGTTTGAGACAAAAAGGCACCGACACATCAGCGGTGTCCTTTTTCAAATCGCAACTTGCACTTGTCGTATTTGCTGATCCTCACCCAAGTGAACCGCTGGTGCTTATACATGCTGCACAGTGATAGCATCCGCTTTTTGTAGCACCTGTGCATACTGCACTTAAGTCCTAATGCCTTGCACCAGTCTTTTAGGCTAGTTTCCTGAAAGTCCTTTGCACGAGAGTATCCCTCAAGACTTGGAGCTTATTTTGAGCAGCTACTTTGACCTGTCCTCTGTGAGCTTCATGGTATCATGATGATGTAGCCAAATCAGCAAGATGTTGTCGCATCACTGACTTCTTCTGTGAATGGTATTTCGCGAGTTCGCATCGCGTGTCGCATCGCAAAAAAAGCTTCTGTGAATCCCGCTTGAATCGGTGGTTCCACGCCGTATGACATAGGCGGAACACCGAAAAATCATGTGCGTATATATTATAGAGCCAATTATAACTTGACGGTAACGACCCAATACCACCCGACATGGCCAAATTTCCGATTTCGCTAAAAGTTGGCGCCTACTGTCCCCACAGTCTGTTTCAAAAAGATTAGCAATCAAGTTTGACGATAAGGGAAATTTGGACAAAAAAGTACATACAATGGCTTGTTAGGGCATGGCAAATTGTTCTGTGAAGATTTCGGAACAATTGGACCAACCGTTAAGGAGTTAAAATTTCGGCCAGGTTTCTGGCCTTTTCCAATGTTTTTTAATTTACTCTGGAAGCCAGTATCGATTTGTGATCAAAACCTCCGATTTATCCCTTCCTTTTTGGCCTTTTGGTTATGAATGCTGTCTGCTGCCCATGAAGTAGTTGTGAGTTCAAATCCCAACAAAGTAAAACATTTTTCTTCATTGTTTTGGTGATCACGCTTGTACAAGACAAAGAAGGTGGCTGCCCCAAACGACTTGTTGTTGGAGCTTGCGTTTCCTGCCGAACCGACTGGCACTTGACTGGCTCACGCCATGTGAAGTTGTGAATACACACAACACTGAAACCGCTTGAGTGAACACGGAAGTCATTGCGCTGTAGCTACGTGTTGTTGAATACACCCGAACATCGATCGATCGATTTCTATCAGCTTTCACAGGCGTCTGCTTTTCTCAAAATGTCGTCGAAGTCACACGGATAGGTTTGCAACATCAAGGCTTTGGGAATGAGTCTGTGTCGATGCCGTTTTCGTCACATCGTGAGAGTAAATTGCATCCGCGGCAGCTCAAAGAATCTATTTGGTCACAAAACGAATTGGGACGCATCCCGCTCGTCAATTTATCACACTTTTGACACGTCCTCGACCAGCTCCTCTCTGACTCCATATCAGGGAGTCGTCAAATACCGGGAGTGGAAACGAGATGCGCGAGCGTGATCCATGCTCGCCTCGCGCTGGACATGGAGCACGCCGATTTTTTTCAAATAATCTTTTTTGTGCCACATTCACCAATTCCGCGGGATTTTCAAAATGTCAAAATTTATTTTGGTTCTTCCTGCAAGCGGAGCAGTTTAGACGTCTCCATACATAAACCTTCTCGTCAGATTTCCGCTTCCCTTTTGTAGTATTATCACTCTTCGTCGTGGATTCGTCGGCAGTGCATGGTCATGCTGGACAGGGAGATATCGGTAGCCATTTTACGGCTGATTTTTTAGGAACTTGGGCGAGAGGTGAGTAAAAACCAAGCTTTATCGAGTGAATACTTCTATCACTGAATAGCTTTGTTTTGGTTTGTTACACACGCATGCTGCATGTACAGAGCATTCGATTTATCAACCTGCAGTCAAGTACAGACCCAGGGAAGCTTCTCTTTTACTTGCCCAATGATCGTGCATAACATTTTATGTGAAACTCGTAAAAAGAAATGCAATGGTAGATTTAAGAAACTATGTGATGGTCAGGAATCAGGATACACATGGCATTCTCTACCTGGATGAATACTTGTGACAATTTTAATATAGAAATACTGCGCTGTTTTCCGTGTGCGTTTTGTCCAGACCTGGAGACCACATCAGCTGTGTTTTCAAGTTTAATTTGCGGTACAGTAGTGGCAAGAAAGCCGTCCGTCATGCCAGCATCATCCGCAGCAGCAACAGCAGCAGCACCCCAGCCCACCGCCATAGTCAACTGCACTGCAGAGACACCTAAAAGATACCATGGTGGTTGGTGTGTTGTTGCGGTGAGAAGAGAACTGGAAGCTAGCAGAAAGCCTGAGTTAACTAGCCTCAAGCCGGTGTTGGCGACTTTCGGCCATGAAATTCTGGCCAACATGTCTCCGAATCTACCAAACTTTGAAAAGATAATTGAATCTGAGACACATGAGCATCCACCGTGTGTGTGCATGCACAGTGTGGGCATGTCAGTATGTGTATGTGTGTGTGTGTGCTGCCAAAGATGGCTCTCTCGTCGTGCCGATTGAATATGGTCCCTAATCTCTTGGCAGACTGCCGACTTTCTGCCGTCGCTTCCATGTTGTCGGTCCCGCAAGGGGACAGGTGACCGTAATGGCAGTGTTTACCAGGACCAGGTGTGTGTGTATGTGTGTGTGCATGCATGCATGCATTCCAGTGTGTGTGTATGTGTGTGAATGTGCGTGCATGCGCAGTTCGTGCATGCCGTGTGTGTGCATGTGCAGTTTGTGCATGCCAATGAGTGCGTGCGCACCCGTATATTGGTGCGTGCATGTACGCATGCGTAACTGCTAACACCCAAAGTTGGCAAAGAGAAGCGAGACAGAAAGAGAGAGAGGGATTTAGAACAGTTTAATTCACTGTGTATTGTCAATTCTGTGATACTCGCCACAATCGGCCAAATCTGTAATTGGATTCTCAGTGTTGGTGGTGAATATACGTTGTCATGCTTCCTCTTGACATGAGACATACTGAAAGCGGTGATGTTCTCTTACACTGAAGAAGAAAATAAGAGAAATTCCTTGACTTTATAATAATGTGGTCGTCATTAAAAAACAATAATGTTTTAGAAACAAAGGGTTCCTCAAAAAGTCAGTGGCATATCATCTTACACCGAGAAAATTCACAGGTAGCACCTATATGGAAAGGACAATGGTTACGAGAAGTTTTTTCGTGGGTCGAACCAAGTGGCTTTGATTACTGAGGCTGAGCTATTTTCCTCGATAAATTACATCAAAAGTCACGTCACTATCCGCGCGTGAATCGGGCCTCCAGTCATACATCGCAACACTGCGATAACGCCTACCGATAAATTAGGTGTCCTCCTACTAGTAAACGAGCAGACCACTGCAAATATCTCTGTATACACGTTCTGATGGACGCTTTCTCCCAAAAAATACTCAAGGATACTCTAAATTGCATTTGACGACGCTGAGGTACTCAAGGCACTGCAAAAATTTTGCGCGAGGCAAGCATGGATAATCAAGATTAACGGCGTTTCCACTCCCGGTATTTGACGACTCCCTGCTCCATATCGATACGAGGAAGAACATGTACGAGTAGTAGTAGCCGACGTCAGTGAGTTGTCATTTTTCATTCTTTCGCGCGGAATATTTCTTCGAGTTCACAGTGAGTTTTTCCAGGCAGCGCTTGAGCGCTCATACGGTAAGACGGCAAACTCCCTGTTGATCTTGTTGAAACTGACTATAGGTGAGCCTCATTCACTGAGTCTTGGGAAGATGTATTGAACTCCCGACACAACAAGAGCACAGTAATTTTAGTTATAATTCATACATTTACATTTTAATGGAAACCTGACGGGTTTCTGCAATTATAATGCTTCATCAGAGGATGAAGAATGAGGTAGAAAACACTAGCTTATATACACGGTAGGCATGGATTGGCATACTAGTAGTGTAAAGTGGAGAAGGTTGCTAGTCATGTTGCGCTATGCACCAGTAGCTGGGCGTGTAGCAATGCAGTAAAATAATTGTCTTGGCGCAAATGTGGCTAATACGCATGGGTGACGTGAAGCTTAGGAAATAGCTAGGTGAAAAGTTGTAAAGCTGTACAAAAGTAAATGAACCATAGGGTTGAACTAGGTGAAAGTTGTAGGTTTGTACTCATGTTTTTGGTTGGTTCCAGAAATTTCTAGAACCAACCAGAACTCATTTGTTGTAAACCAGCCGACGTAAAGTGAGTTGTCATTTTTCATTCTTTCGCGCGGAATATTTCTTCGAGTTCATAGTGAGTGTTTCCAGGCAGCGCTTGAGCGTTCATACGGTAAGACGGCAAACTCCAAGGTGATCTTTTTGAAACTGACTATAGGTGAGCCTCATTCACTGAGTCTTAAGGCAAGTGCTGGCGAGGTAATTTTATGAGTTGCAAGGGCGGCAAGTTGGTGCCTTTTCCTGCCACACTTGGAGGGCCAAAAATCTGACTTGGGTCCGGGGGTGTCCCCCGTTGAATTATTTTTAGGAAAATGGCTTGCAGTTGGGGCCTCAGAACACATTTTTAATTGTCGACACACATGCAAGCAGGCGTGCATTTTACAGCTACATGTACATATACATATACATGTACATGTACAATGACTGGCCGAACGCGACCTGGTAGCGCCGAATGGCCAACAAAATCGGTTGTCCCTCTTTGGGAACAACATCTGTCGGCTTGTCCGACAGGCGATCAAAAATCTGACGTTTCCGAAAAATCGGAGCAAGTGGCAGCCCTGGTATTGCCTTCGGTTTTCTGTACGAAAGTTGGCACCTGCATACAGCCGTTGTTCAGGCGAACAGTTAAGCCTAGTTCACATTCGACGGGGCGCGACGGGACGCGACGTAAGGATCGACGGGAAGCGACGGGACGGTCTGACGGCGTCCAATGTGAACACCAGGAACGGGAACGCAACCGTACTACCGTACAGATCGGGAAGCGACGGGAAGAGTTGGATCGATCCAACTTTTCATACCGTAGACGGGCGTAGACGGGGACGCAAGCGTACAAAACGGCTGCAATTCGAGTGTGAACAGGAGACGGCGTCGTGCGCCGACTGCTCCCGATTCGTACTTGGAAATTGTTAGTATTTCGAACACTGCGCTTCCCATGATAACTCACAGAATGGCTAGCACGACTTCAGTTGAATTTTAGCAACATAAGATCTCATGTCACTTATTGTATTTAGGGATAGTTCAGAAGCGTGACAGACGAACTATTCTATCATTTCCTGGGGCTATTATTTGAATGCCACAACTTTCAGGGCTAATTTTTTGGTCTTCACGAAAAACTGGTATTGTGAACTTGATTCCGCTTCTTTCAAGGAGAAATTAGGTCCAAAAGTCACCCCGTCACGGACCATGTCTTATGACTCGCGCCGTTCGACGGTGAACGTCGCAACGGCTGCTGCATGTCGTGTCGTACTAATCGTACGGGATTTTACAGCTCACCCCAGCCCTCCCGACAAGCCCTTACGTCCCGTACTGTCGGCGTTGCGTCGAATGTGAACTAGGCTTTATGAAGCGTACGCCTGTTCCGACAAATGTACCCGACTTTGTGCGGGTACGGCACCGTATTTCGTGAGTGCATGAATGACGGCGGCATCGGAGATCAGAGATCCAAATCGGGATGTCCAAGATGTGCAGTTGCAGTGAGGAAGCGAAACAATGGCGGACAGCAATGCGGGATTTGCCAAGAAAGAGACGAAGTTCAACAATGGTTTTGTTAGTGATCTGTCTAAACAAGTTTTCCTTGCAGGTAGACCCAGTAATCTGCCCGGAGGTGACGTCATCTTACCCCTGGTTTATGAGGGTGTCCGCATTTTCCACGATTTGCTGGCCTGTGAGGCCGTCGACAAACATCACAGTATTGACCTTCAGCCTCCACAATTCAGCCTCCACAGTGGCTCTGGAGGCTGACGCTTTGAGCTGCCTGGCGGTGCGGAGTTATCCATGATAGGCAGGTAAATACTAGTAAGAATATCAATTGATATATGCCAGGAGGGGGGGGGGGGAGTAGTCACGACACTGAGAGCTTCAAAACTTGCTTCTTACTCTTGGCGAGTTTTTGACATGATGCCAAGAAAAGTACATTTTGGCATGATACGTTCACACCATCACGCAGTATTCTTATCTGTACATGGAAGCAACAATACCCGACCCAACATAACCAGAACAAACAGGAAATACTTGAAACACTCATCAAGCCTCTTTTTGCCCTTTTAAACTCTGTTGCTAGTTTGTCAACGGCCTAAGGATCCAGCTTATGGGTCTTACAGCAACGGTGTATTCCTTCAACAAGAATATCTTGATACGCTGACTTTGACATGTGAACAGGGATACGAGGTTCAAGGTAACCCGAAGGTGACTTGCATCACAGCACCTTCCACTACTACCCCACTAGCCACATGCGGTAAGCTTTCTTGTGTGGTTTTCAGATTGCAAAATCGGTGTTACAACAGTATCCCGTGAGCTTGTTCCCAGCAACTGACTGGTTTGGGTGCATGTGTGTTAATTCATTGGTTGTGAAAAAATACAAATTTCAATCGGATGTGCTTCAAATAGACCACATCGGCATTCCATTTGTAACCATCCGCCTCGGTGTGGATAGAGCTAAATCATATTCACTGATGAGACCTTAGTGGTCGATACAGCGTTGAAAATCGGCTTTCGGTATGAACGTCCAATCAAACTAGACTTCGCTAGTATGAACATTGATGAAGCAATTCCACCTCCTCCATATGCGCTCTCTGGCCGACAATGACATCAGCAACATGACTACAGGTTGTATATACTGACAGATATAATTACCTCCAGGCAGCGTTGTTTGGATCACTAAGGTCTGATCAGTGGAGGTTGAGAATAAAGAATGGCTAGCATTAATTAGAACTCACATATTTATAGATAGAATGTAGCGAAGAATTGTGATCCCGCGCTTGGAGATACAAGACGGGCTAAGTGCTTACACATGGTGCAAAATGACACTCCTACATGCCATTAGTGTACTGCGAGCATCATCGATACTCACGCAACAGATTCTAGCACTCTGAGATACAACAATGTAGCATACGGAAGAAAACGGGGCGACAGTTCAGACATTTGCGCTCCAACACAGTACTGCAAGTACGCAAGACGCCCCTAGGGCATTTACTCTGTCAACTCACTCACCACCATACAGAACTGTCATCGCATGATCAGGCGAAGATTCTGCTGTTGTCTCCATTGCATATTTATGGTTCTCAGTATATGGTGTCACCCTTTGAGTACATAAAACACCAGTATGTAAACTGAGAAGAAGTAGCGACGACCCGGCCATTATGGAATCCAATACACCACACCACCACATTGCGCTCTTGGCCGATCCAAACTCTGCACTCACATCACCATCACCACAGCGAGGACAATTCCGGTGGATAGATTGATATTAAGACAGCTAGACAGCTGTTTCGCTCCTCCTGAGCTCATGAGTGGAGTCATGATGTTGAATGAAAGCATAATAAGAGTAGACTGATCTTTACACGGCTACGCAATTGCGCTCAATCGGCAAAGAAACGTGGCATACCCTAGTGACAAAAGTGATAAAAAGTGATAAAAAGGTCTGGTGATAACGACACGCGCTCATGGCTGGGACAGGAACATGTAGCACGTTTGAAAAGGGGGGGGGAGGGGGCGGCGCAAAAAACAGCAGTCAGTCTAACACCAGAAAAGTTAGTTATTCCATGTGCCACAAAAAAAAAAAAAAAGACACTGCGGCTGACTGTACTTGTCCCACAGTGATGTGATGGGGAAAGAACAACAAAGCGACCTGAAGGACCCAGCAGACCCAGCGGCCCCTGAGGCAATCACTGTCCTGCCAGCCCATCACACACAGCCACACCAGGCTGCCATACCTGTTCAACACATACACTGATGTTGCTTGCGCCTTCAGCTTCAGTCAGCCGCCAATGCTGCTATATTTTGATCTAGCACTTGATGTTGAGTAGGGGTGAAACAATTATACTGAGTACTCGAGTACTCGCTCGGTTTTTTCAAATAATCGTACTCGGAATAAATCAGAGTACTCGTTCATACATGGTACATGCATTTACTACAGAAATCTGCAGTTTCAGGGCAGGAGTAGGCAGATGGTGATGTGCAGACTGTGTGGCGAACATTTGTTCATTAGTAGAGAGAGCCCAAATGACCCACAACCAATATACCCGAGAAAAATGACTGCTACTCGGTTCAATCAGGGTAATATGATGTTATTATAAAGCCCTTGGTGTGCAATTTTTAGGAGATGAAAAATACTCGAATGCTCGAATATTCGATTGGAGAAAATCAGAGTACTCGAACTTGGGATCCCAGTGCCAACTTACACCCCTGATGTTGAGGAACTGTCCCGCTTGTCCCGTAAAAACAAATACCTCTGGGGTATGATAGATTAGCAAATCCGGTTTAAGAGTGAGTGGGTGTTTAGGTGTGAGCAAGGTTTGCCCAGTCGAGCAAGGGGAAAGAATGTGCATTACACATGCATGGCACGTTTCACTTGGAAATACACAGAAATCCATGGAGATAAAGTGGTGCTTTTTCGTTATTCAGTTTTGAAAAACATTTCCTTGATCAGTTGATAAACCTTCACAACGTCTCCGTCAGTTTTTAGCGAGGCAGCAATATTGATACGAGGTCAGTGTTCCTGAGCAAAGTGAACCGTTTGCCTGAATCATTCAACTTTCCATGACGAAAATCCCATGCACTGCATCACTGCTTCCCTCATTCCAGGCAACAAGCTCTCAATTAAGTCTGGGTCGCAGCACGGCTGGAAAAAAGCCCTTCTGCTTCCAAGCAGGACTTGAACCTGATACCCTCTATTTCTCAATCATGGTCTTGGACCACCTCACTATATCTACCTGCTGTAGTTGGGTAAAGCCTCCGTACTAAGACACAGGGATGTTGTGTATCGCACACCTTTCTCCCATCAACCCCACTGTTTGCAAAAGTGGCTGTACTTTCAAGTAGTTCTGAGCGCAGGTTTTGAATTGTACTGGGAAGTAGCATATAAACCAACCAAACAACCCACCCACATATTCTCTATATGTTGCCTCTGAACTGTGTTGCTGGTAGCCAAGATATGTCAAAAACCAAGTATACCAAACGGAATTTTTAACGGAGATGCATTCAATTCCGCATTTGGAAACAACGAACTGAGGGGAGTTTGTAACGATGGCTATACAGCCACACAAACACCTAAGGCGACTTGCGGCAATTTTGGCACGGTGACTGTGATGGGCAAATGCGGTAAGATATCCTGTGTGTTTCTGATTAAGATTGTATAGTGGTGACAATTGATTTGAGCTTCAAGATTTAGTAAGAGGAATTTTATGCTATGGCCTTGTGAACGGAGCTCCAAGCAAATGGGAAATTCCAATCAAATGAGATTTGAGAAGTGCCAAGAAAGAATACATTACAGGGCAGATCTCTGAATGGTTTGCTATTATGGGGGTTTGCGACGGTTAGCGCCATTTTGGATATAATGCCTTTCAGAGTGGGAAAATGGGGCGCGATCATGCACAATGGAGTAAGCGCCGGACTTTCCGCAGCAACTGTCCTGGTGGAGGTGTGTGCCTGTATTACAGGGCTACACTTCCTGTCACCGTACAGCCAGATTTGAAGGTGGACTATATTGAAGCCGTGTGGATCAGTCTGCACCAATCCAAACAGCGGCACTTTTTTGGGTGTATGTATCGCCCCCCTGCTGAATCAACTCATTATTGGGACAGATTTGAGCAGGCTCTTCACCAGGCTGCAGTGGTATCACCATCTGTCACCCTGCTTGGTGACTTCAACATTAATGTTAGCTCAGCTGTAACACCTCAGCTCCACCGTTTCAATGATGCAATTCACTCTTTCGGTTTGAAAAATTTAGTTTCTGTCCCAACCCGAATAACCCCAAGATGTCCCGTCGGCACAACACTGGACCTGATCCTCACCAGTAACCCTGCTACAGTCTCCTGCAATGTCGTACCCTGTACTCTGAGTGATCACTCGGCCGTACATGCTAGACTGGACCTCGCGCTACCGTCCGCTAAGCATCAACACTCCTCGCAACGCCGGGGAACCAGTTTAACCCGCAACATGCGCACCATAAACCTTCCAGAATTTCGGGATGAGGTTGCCAATGCCAACCTGAGCGTGTTCCAATCGACTTCCTCCACTGATGAGATGTGAAGCACTTGGCACACTAAATTCATGCGTGTTCTTGACAGACATGCCCCTCTCAAATCCACCAGCAGGAAGGCGAGCTCATATCCCCCGTGGTCTGACAGGGAATTGTACCAACTCCAGTGTTGCAAGAAAAGGCTACATCGCCAGTGGCTTCAGAACAAGGACAGCACCCATCTCTACTCGGCATTCAGGCGTGCCCGTACGGCTGCCAGAAATACCTATCTTAGGAAACTCAATGAGTATTTCCAAATCCAATGTGCTGAACATAGTCGCAATCAACGCAAACTGTGGCATATCATCAACACTGTAACATCTCGAACTCGCCAACGTATTGAGCCAACGTGAAATGTGGAGGATGTCGCCACAGCCTTCAGTTAAGTTGTGACTGATAATGATAGACCCCCTGTGCTCACCATGCCACAGGGTCCATCATGCCCCACAGCCTTATCAGCTTTCCAGTATGTCCGAACCAACTCTGTTTATCGTCTCCTGAGAGGCATCAATGCAGCCAAGGCCACAGGCAGTGACAGCATCCCAGGAGTACTTCTGAAGTGCTGTGCTGATATCATTGCTCCGTCTGTTGCTGCTCTCTTCAATGCCTCACTATCCCGTGGTACAGTACCCTCTGCCTTCAAGCTTGCACACGTATCACCGCTATATAAAGCTGGTGACCCAGCAGTTCCCACTCACTTCCGTCCCATTTCCCTTCTCCCAATCCTGTCCAAACTATTAGAGAAGCTGGTGCAGAAGGAACTTGTATCAGTCATGAACATCACGGAGTCACTTCCCTCCACTCAGTTTGCATTTCGCAGCGGCCATTCCACTGAGGATGCACTAGCTCTCATCACCAACCGTATCCTTACTGCCCGGGACAAACGAATGTACACAGGTGTCTGCTTACTGGACATGTCCAAAGCTTTCGAAAAAGTTAGGCACCACCAACTAATTCTCGACCTCTTCAATGTTGGTGTTACGGCCACAGCCCTGCGGTGGTTCATTTCTTACCTCTCCGAACGGACCCAGCGTGTGTGTATTGGACCATCACGCAGCACTATCACTCTCTGCACCTGCGGAGTGCCACAGGGATCTGTGCTCGGCCCAATTTTGTTCAACGTATACACTCGGGAAATACCCTATGTTGCTGGACAAGCTTTGTCTTTGCAGTTTGCAGATGACATTGGTCTCACTTGCAGCAAACCGACTAAGTCTGAAGTGTCTGCAATTCTGTCTGCGTCAGCTTCAGCTATTGCTAACTGGCTAAACGACCGTGGCTTGATCCTGAATGCTTCCAAAAGCCAGGTGATCTCCATTTCTGGGAACCTACCTGAGAAGCATACTCCACTCTCGGTGAACTGTAACGGGACCCTGCTGCCTCTTGTGGAGTCTGCCAGGTACCTTGGCGTAACATTTGATAGCAACATGTCTTGGGATGACCACGTAACCCGCTGTGCAAACCGTGTATCACGAAAGATCGGAGTCCTGTGGAGGATGCGGCGTTGCCTCAGCACACAGGGTCGGATAACTTATTTCCAGTCCATCATAATGCCCAATCTTCTATATGGATCAAATGCATTTTCGACATCTCTGGCAGCCAGGCACTGTCATCGACTACAGGTTCTGCAAAACCCTGGTGCCCGTGTAGTGTTCGGACGCCCGCCATGGACATCCGCACATGACCTACTGGAGCGCCTCTCACTGTATCGGGTAACCGAAGTGTACAAGCAGAAGCTGGCATTCCTTGCATGGCGCTGCCGTTACGGCCAAGCAAGTCCTGAGCTTCAGGTTCTCTTGCTGCCAGCTTGTGGCCGGTCCACGCGCCTTGACTCCAGCATGGGTCTCTGCCTGCCACCCGCCCGCAGCAACTTTGGAAAGGGGACATTCGCCTTCCAGGGTGCGCTATGCTAGAACAACCTGCCTAGCAGTATTCGCTCCATCGATGTTCCTCGTCAGTTCCGTGCTGCCGCAGTCCCGTTTAATCTATGAACTGATAACATTGCAAAGCAATTGTATGTGTGGCTGTCAATGTACATGTGTGTGTGTGTGTGTGTGTGTGTTTGTGTGTGTGTGTGCACGCGCATGTGCGTGTGTGTGGGGTATGTGTCTGTGTGTATTGGTGTGTAGGTGTGGGTATGTACATGTATGTGTGTGTGTGTGTGTGGGGGGGGGGGGGTGTGGGTGTGTGTGGGTGTGTGTGTGGGTGTGTGTGGGTGTGTGGATGTGTGGATGTGTGGATGTGTGGGCGTACATGTAGATGTGCAATGCTTCGATTTCTCTATCTTCTCTTCTCTTCTCTCTTCCTGTCGGTGTCTCCCGCTTCTGGGCCGGCATGGCCCGTGCTTCATGCGCGCTTGTTCCTGGTGTTGTTATGTCTACTGTGTCCTGCCACTACTCCGGCTTTGGCCGTGACCACGATGTGTCTCCCCATTTTCTCCTTCATCCTTTCCTTTCTCCCTTTGCTTAAAGCTTCTTCTCGCCGTGGCCACGATTTTTCTTCTTCTTCTCCATTATTCTTTTTCTTTCCTTCCTTTCTCTTCTTCCTTTGCTGAGAGCCTTCTGTTCCCATATTTTCTTTTCATCTGTGTCCCCATTCCTGGGTTACTTGGACTTTATTCGCTTCCTTGTCATTGGACATGTTCAATCCGTTCGGTTTGCGAATTCAAATAAACACAACCACCACCACCAACCAACTGACTGGTTTGGGTGCATGTGTGTTAATTTCATTGGTTGTGAAAAATTACAAATTACAATCGGACGTGCTTCAAATAGACCACATCGCCATTCCATTTGTAACCATCCGCCTCGGTGTGGATAGAGCTAAATCATATTCACTGATGAAACCTTAGTGGTCGAAACAGCGTTGAAAATCGGCTTTCGGTATGAACGTCCATTGGTTGTGTTTATTTAAATTCGCAAACCGAACGGACTGAACATGTCCAATGACAAGGAAGCGAATGAAGGCCAATTAACCCAGGAATGGGGACAGAGATGAAAAGAAAATAATGGGAACAGAAGGTTCTCAGCAAAGGAAGAAGAGAAAGGAAGGAAAGAAAAAGAATAATGGAGAAGAAGAAGAAGAAGAAAAATCGTGGTCACGGCGAGAAGAAAGCTTTTAGCAAAAAGACAAAGGAAAGGATGAAGGAGAAAATGGGGAGACACATCGTGGTCACGGCCAATTCAAACACAACTTCGCACTGAGGAGTGTATAATCAGTTTAAACGCTAGTATGAACATTGATGAAGCAATTCTACCTCATCCACATGCGCTCTCTGGCCGACAATGACATCAGCAACATGACTCCAAGTTGTATATACTGACAGATATAATTTCTTCCAGGCAGCGTTGTTTGGATCACTAAGGTCTGATCAGTGGAGGTTGAGAATAAATAATGGCTAGCATTAATTTGAAGTGACATATTTATACATAGAATGAAGCGAAGAATTGTAATCCCGCGCTTGGAGATAAGAGACGGGCTAAGACGGGCTAAGTGATTACACATGGTGCAAAATGACACTCCTACATGCCATTAGTGTACTGCGGGCATCATCGATACTTACGCAACAGATTCTAGCACTCTGAGATACCACAATGAAGCATACTGAAAAAAACGGGGAGACAGTTCAGACTTTTGCGCTCCAACACAGTACTGCAAGTACGCAAGACGCCCCTGGGGCATTTACTCCGTCAACTCACTCACCACCATACAGAACTGTGAGCGCATGATCGGGCGAAAATTCTGCTGTTGTCGCCATTGTATAATTACGGTTCTCATATATGGTGTCACCCTTTGAGTACATAAAACACCAGTATGTAAGCTGAGAAGAAGTAGCGACGACCTGGCCATTATGGAATCCAATACACCACACCACCACTTTGCGCTCTTGGCCGATCCAAACTCTGCACTCACATCACCATCACCACAGCGAGGACAATTCCGGTGTATAAATTGGTATTGACAATGACCCTCTAGACAGCTGTTTCGCTCCTCCTGAGCTCATGCGTGGAGGCATGATGTTGAATGAAAGCATAATAACTTAAAGAGTATACTGATCTTTACACGGCTACGCAATTGCGCT